TTTAGATGGTCCAACGGCAAAGGCGGTAGGTACTACAGCGGCTCCGTAGTTCTGGTGAATATCCAAACGGCTGCTGGCATAAGCGGCATCCAGAGGCAGGTTGGTGTAGGCAAGAGGGGTGGCTACTGGAGCAGCTATTGGAGCAGCTAATGGAGCGGAGACCACAGGAGCAGCAGCCAATGGTGCGGCAACTGGCGCGGACGCTACAAGTTTAGCGGGTGCTGCAGCAAATAGAGCGGCACCATATCTCTGTTGAATATCGAGACGACTGCTGGCATAAGCAGCATCCAATGGTGCATTTATGGCGGCGGTGACAAGTGGGGCTGCGGCCAATGGAGCAGCAAGTGGCGCGATCAAGCCTGGCTTGGCGACAGTGCAGGCAATGAAAGAGCACAGGACAATCAGCTATAAAATATAAAGAAAAAAACATACTTATGCTCATATTCGCTATATAATAGATATAGTTTAAACTTACGAGTTTGGCCATTTTAAATGTGAATAGAGTTATTTTTCGGCAGTTGCTTCCTTGGCTAGCTAAGTGAACTCAATTGTGAGTATGGCTTCTTTGCTGGCAATACAAGCTTTTATACTACGAACACATTTTTCTAGCAGTTATTTAGTGACTAGCCATCGGCATTGAAAGCTTAGCGCTTGCAGTTGCATAGATAATTAGTTCAGTAGACCAAAGGGTAGCTGATGGACTGCTCAGCGTCTTCAATGGGTTCATATGCGGGTTTTGCATTAGCATAACTTAAGTTTACTTGCTTTGTTTTTTATATTGCTTATGTTTTTATGCACTCGCAGATTGCATACCTAATATAATATCTACGCAAGTGACGCGCGCTCGAGCTTGACACGGCTTTATGAAAAACTAAAGGACTTTGGGCGTGTGTGAAAGACACGAACACTTTATTCAATAAATATTAATAGTATTTAAATTAGTGAAGCTCGTTCTTATTAGTCCAGAAAGGCCTCAGCTACCTTTGGAATTCCTTCCACAAGTAAGGATAAAAACGTGTCGTTGCGAAAATCAGAGGAAAAAAATATTAAATTTTTTTTTTGTATGTTGTATTGTGGTATTAAACAAGAAATGTGTTGTGTTGACTTCGAAACTAAAATATAATAAATTTGTTGTTGTATTATATTTACAATGCATGAATTCAGTCCTAATTAATTTATTCTGAAACTTCAAAACAAAAATATCACAAATTTCTAAGTGTATTTCATTCTAAATACGATGCAGACTTCATTAGAATAATTTAACGTCAGCGAATTTAACTTAAACAGAAAACTTATCGCACAGATCATAACAACTGTCAAACAATATTCTTATCACTTCTTTTAATACGAATACTTTTCAACTCAATGAAAGGAGAGAAACTAAGTTGCCAACAAAATCTTTTTTCCGATCGCTTTTAAAACGCCACAGGTCTGCTGATTTCGACTTTTCATTTTCTGAGTAATTGTGAAATCACATTCGAAACTCAAATGAGGCGTGTTCTCGGAAGCGTGAGATATGAAGTCCTGCACTTAGCGTAATTACATTTGCAACTTGAAATTGCGCAGAGCAGAAAACAGCTGGTGGCAAAAGCAACAACTGTAGTAATAACAACAACAATCACAGTAACGACAACATCTATTTTACCGAGTAAATTCTTCTGATATTAATATAAAAAGTTTTCATCATTGTTTTCCTCCGCCTGCCCGCTCCCGCTCCCGATCCGGTCCAGTCCAGTCTACTATATGGCACTCTCTCAATTGTTCACTACATCATCATCGTCATTTTCAATATTTTCCCACAGTAAGTATTAGTAGCAGCTGGGTTGCAACTTTAGTGCTGTTCTTCACCTACTTTTCGCCTTGTTTCACGCACACACATACACACACACACAAACGTAGAGTCGCACTTGATTGCCGGATTATGGGTGTGTATGCGCAATATAACCGTTATTTCAGTGTGTTGGGTGTTGGCGCATGCCAGCAAAAATAAGGAAAAGGCAAAAGTTGCAATGGCTACATATACGGTAGTATGCTTGAAGGTGTGTGCGAGTAACTGTATGTGTGTGATGTAGAGCCCGCGCTACCAAGAAATGCGCAACTTTTGTCATCTGTTCTAACAACATAATCGATGTCGAGCTGTTCTCTTATTGTTTGTATGCAATGTCTTATGCTTTTCCCCACACACACCCACACACATATATATATGGTTCGTACTGTATGTGTGCGAGTTACGAAGTCTCATTGCATTACTTTTCGCTACACATTACCGTCAGCATTCGTTTTTGTTTGTGTATCAATGAATTTTGCATAATAAAAAGTTTATGCTTCGCTTCAGAATATGAAATTTTCTTAAAGTGGAAGCACATGCAGTTGACAATAATGCAGCACTAAAAGCTCCTTAAATATTATATTATGCAGTGGGGTAGGGCTGTGCATATTATTAAATAAATAAAAAAAGTATATCGTGTCATTATCAATCATTTTCCGTTTCTTTATGTTCTGAGAAGTCTTTTGCCCAACAATTTAGTCTAACTTTGATCTCAATGTCCAATCGGTCCAATAACACGCGGTTATATTATTTATTGCTTGTTCGATGTAGATGATGAAAACAATTCCATGGAAATTCCAAAAATTCGGGCTAAAACTGTGTCGTCGGGCTGTTGTGTTCTCGGGCGTTTTCGATAAGTCATCCGCTACTCTTAAGCTATGGACCTTTAAAGTCGAGCACGTTTGAATTGCTGATCAATTTTTAAAAAACGCGACAGGCGTCGGGCGCAAAACTTTTTCATTTGACGTATTTTCTGGGAATAATATGACCTACATTTACATATCTAGTACCGCTCAACACAATTTTACGAATTGTCGCGGTGTTCTAACGTACTACTGGCACCAGAACAAAGTTCCATTATTAGTGCCAGGACAGTTATGGTCAAGTAACAGTACTTGATCGTAGAATACGCTGAGGCAGATTTGCCGTTATACTTTTCTAGCTATTGCTTTGCGTCAATGCTGTTGCGCTTCACGAGGAAATGTTTTATCAAATCACGAAATCTACTTTGTCCCTTGTAAAAATTAAAAGGTGGACATGAACCTATCTTTGATACCAATGAAATCCCATGAGTCTCTACGTCTGGGGCAAAAGTTCAGAATTTTAGCTTGTTGCGCGATTTCAACACAGCACAGAGACGTTTTCATTCATGGAATAAGTAGTTTTTGGTCAATCCGCCATATTCTAATATTTCAGTTGTCTCAGATCCTTTAATAGTTGAACTACTTTATAACTGCTTTGAACCATCCGATCAAATTTGACTCGGACTGGTCCATATTAACTGCGCGAAAGCCGAATCGATAACACATTTTTTCCTAGATTGGTACAAACTTTTTATGATCGTGTGAATTTTGATCTCCATACGTCAATTCGTGTACCAGTATGTTTGGCTGGTGATTTTTACTAAGAGTGCCAGACGTCCCCTCTGTTAATGACGATAATATCGAAAAAGTTAAAGAAACAGTGCTTAAAAATCGTCATGTTGACATCAGAGAGATAGTAGAGACATCTCAGTATCTCCATGGATCGTCAAAACATATTTTAGGTAATGTTTTGGGTATGAAGCCTGTCAATGCTAGACTTTAAAAATCCTAAAGTCCTCAAAACTCTTGCAAAAACGAAATCGAGTAGCGGTCGTAATAGAGAATTTAACATATTGACTCAGAAGCCTATTTTGAATGTGAAAATAAAAATTTTTATTGAATATTAAAATATGTTCACATACACTTTTTATTTATTTATTTACTTTTTTTTTGGCACTCCGTGTAAGATTTGATATGTTCAAAAATTCACTGTTTATATGTTTCGAAAAGAAGATTAATATATTCATCACAAGACTGTTTTAGTTTTATTATTATTTCACAAACAATGAGATTGTCTAAAATCCTTTAAATTCCAGTGAGCAAATGAATTTGGAAATATTTACATAAATAGCTCATAAAAACACACTCGAGTTTTTCTTGTAGATTTTTCGGAGAATGTGTTGTTTTTGCTTGTCATACTTATACGTGGTGAGGATATTCAATAAGAAGATTAACATGCCTGGAGACGAATAGTGAATGCGTAATCTAAACAACTAGGTATTGTTCATTTTAAAATAATTTTTATTTTGACCTAAAATTTTTATTTGAATTTTTCAATCAAATCGAAGGAATGAAATACACTGTAGATTTTATAAAATCTAGCAAGGTGAAGATATTGAGAAATGTTCTGTTTTTTTAAGTTAAAAAAAAAGTTTTTATTTAACCACACTCTCATGTTTCCTGATGGACCAACATAGGCAATGCAAACACTCATAGGAACCACAATATATACGGAACAACGGTAATTAATTTATCTAATCACCCACCCTCGTATGGTGCAACTTGTACTTTGGCAGGGCTAACATAGCAGAAACTATCAAAAACTATGCAAATCAACTCTAAGCAAATTATTGTATGTGTTCTAGTTTTTGTATTTGTGACCAAATATTTACATTTTTATACTCTCTTGTATTCTCCTATATGCTCTATATTCATGTACCCGAGCACATATTCAACTAAATACGTTACTTTATTCGAATTCCACACACGTTTCAGTGGCAAAGTACGAAACTGAATTATGCAACTCTCACCGATTTTGTCGGAGTATGAGTATAAAAACGCTTCCAGTCAACGAGCGAACACAATCGCAATTTGCAGAATTCTCAAAACGCTGAAAATGACCAAATATGTAAGCAAAAAATATTTTCCTTTATTTTATTTGAGGATTTAATTTGATTTTTTGCAGATCATTGTTCTGTGCCAAGCCATAATTGCTCGCCCCGATCGCCGCGCCGTTGGCCGCTGCACCCGTCGTTGCCTCAGCACCAGCCGCTTAAGCCGCGGCTCCCATCGCCTCTGCTAACGCCTACCTGGATGCGGCTTATGCTAGCAGCTCAATCGATGTCAGACAGAACTACGGTGCCGCAGTTGCGCCAGTTGCTTCTGTAGGGCCATTGAAATACACCGTTGCCGCTCCAGTCCTGTAATAAACGCAATAGATTTGCAACTGTATTATTTTATGTGTTCGCTATTGATATTTGGAAAGTATTCGACTAAGTCCATTTAATACCGTTCATTTCATGCAAGAACTATGGAAAGCAGCTAGAGGCTGGCTTGTAGATGGTCGATTTTCAATAAGAAATTTGATATTGTGTTATCCTTCTAAGGGGTTGAAATATTTCAGTACAAACACAGATTTCAAGGAGATAGGATTCTTTTAAAATCAAATTGGCCGAGGGCAAAGTCAAAGGTTTATTGGTATGCGGCATATGTAGCAACATTAAATCCAAAGATTGTTGCGAAATTTCCATCAAATATTGTTATCAACTGATTTCTTAACTTTTAGTTGTTTATATTTGTATAGAGTTGTGTTCAGGTTTATATGAACTGCGAAAATGGAAATTTCATTTAATAAAACGTTTCATGAAGACTCAAATAGCAACTTTTTTGTTTCAGGGTTGAATAATTAGTCCTCGCATATGTATATATTATATAGAATAGCTTTCAAGCGAATGGCACGAGCCAATCGATATGCTTAGTTCCTCAGCAATTTTTCTAATGGCGATTCGACAATTGGCCAATAATATTTTCTTCACTTTATTAATGTTTGTATCTGTTGTTGACGTGCTCGGGCGTTCGGCTCGCTCTTCGTCGTTCACATCTTCTCGACCCTCTGAGAACATTTTGTACCACCGATAAAAGTTGCTTTTATCCAAGGTAGCGTCACCATATGCAACCAATCAAGATTTGGAATGCGTTCGCCCACTTAATTTTATTAGAGAATGCAAAGAAATTTTCAGAACCAAAATGGTGGAGAGAGGAGAAGAGATTACACAAACTGCGATAAGGTAAATAAAATGATGTATTTTCGAATTAATAATAAATATTAATTTATTTTGGTAATTAAAGGTTAAATAAGTTTTTCACCACAGAATTTGGGGAGCAGCATAACGGGCAGCCAAAGGTGCAGCAGCGTAGGGTGAAGCAACCAATGGTGCGGCCAGAGGGGTAGCGGCAGCATAACGCGTTACTAGAGGGGCGGCTACAGGGGCGGCTGCAACAATTGGAGCAGCGGCGATGCCATTGTAATTGCGAGCGATCACTTGGCTGCTGGTGGCGGTCACCACTGGGGCTGGAGCGGCAACGAAGGCGGCGGGAGCAGCGTAGGCCAAAGGCGCGCCAGCAAGGAGACCGGGTTTGGCGGCGGCGCAGGCGATGAGGGCGAAGAGAAATACAGCCTATTTAATAAGAAATAAGAATACAAATTATTAATAAGGGTAGTTTTGAATACATTGTTATCAAAAACTTACGTATTTGAACATTTTGATGAGTTTTTAGTTTGTTGCTTCTTGAATGAACGTTGGCAAGTAATTGATGTTAACTTATTAATAAAGTCGGCATTATATAGTAAACTCAACCGCATTTATCATTTTATCATAGTTTTATATGTGAATCCTCAAATAAAAAACATATCTTCAAAACCAAAAAAAAATAACAATAACAATAATAAAATAGTGTACAAACTGCCACTTCCCCTCATTACAATTCAATGCATTTTTCATAGCTTGTGGTCAACTTTTTTTCGGTGCTATTGTAAACGACCACATATAGACACACGATATGTCGTTCGAATTATATGCTTTGAATCTATAAGTCCGTAGTAGGAATTTTTAACTGTGGGAATTGAAGTTGTACCATAAATGCAGAAGAGACCCTCAACTGAGGCTTATTTTGAGTTTAATTGTAATTCACCAAAGTAATGCACTTTACATTTTTACAATCGCAATATATTTAAGTATTAATTAGTTTTATATTTTCAGCAGTTGACTATAAATACCTAACTGACTTTGGTCATAGGTATCAATCAATCTTAAGCCTTTGTTCAAGCAACAGTCACAGACAAACAAATCCAAACACTTCAATATGTTCAAATACGTAAGTTTTCCATTAAGATAAATCACATATACATACAAAGACAAACGCTTTATTGTAAAGAAACTGTTACTTAAATATTGTTTCATATTCCCACAGGCCGTTGTTCTTTTCGCTCTAATCGCTTGTGCATCCGCCAAACCAGGAATCCTTGCTGCTGCTCCCCTGGCTTACGCTGCTCCCTCCGCTGTTGTTACCGCCACCAGTAGCCAGGTGATCGCTCGCAACTACAATGGCATCGCCGCTGCTCCATTTGTCGCCGCCACCCCTGTAGCCGCCCCTCTAGTAACGCGTTATGCTGCCGCTGCCCCTCTGGCCGCACCATTTGTTGCTGCACAGTACGCCGCCGCTCCTTTGGCTGCTCATTATGCTGCGCCCCAACTTCTGTGGTGAAAAGTGTATCGAATTGAATCTTGCCAAACGAATCAATAAACTTAGCATAAATAATTAATTGAGGTTATTTTATTTAATTAGGTGGATTGTAGGGCAGATTTTGTGTTTGGGAAGCGTGTGACTAGCTATTTAATTATCTCTCCTAATACTCTCACAGACTCTTAATTGTTGCATTGTATTATATGTACCAGTAATTACAATGCAGTGCTTTTAGTGAATTTAGTTTCTTTTTTGGTTTCGGCTCGTTTGTGGAGCACCATTCGGTAGAGTGTTGGACAGCTTCTCCATATTTACGTCTCGCCACTAGTTATGATGCGTTTGATAAATGTAGGATCCTCAGCTACATTGTCAAGCTTATCTTAAGTCAGTCTATAAGATATGTTAAGGTTTTCTGCTATCTTTTTGGTGCTACACTACAATTTTCAAGAGTCCTGTTTCTTTAACGTTTTCGCAGTTATTGTCCTCAAATGTAATGCAAATACTATTAAAAACCGCATATTTTCAACAACTTGTTTCCATATAAAAAATAAAATATTTTATTTAAAATTTTTATTATTCCAAAGATAAATATTTTGCAAAGACTTTGTGAAATTTTCAAAGGAAAATAGTCTTTCGGAAAAAAGGCGCGTTCGCGTTGACAGCCGAACTTCTTATGGGATCATCAAAAGTGAAATGAAAAAAATACTTGTTTTTAATAAGATCATAAACTTGGTAACGAAAAAAGGAAAAATAAAAAATTTTAAATTGTATTTTTAACAGACGTTTTTACAAATAAAATGCAAAATTTGGTGAAATGTTCCCGCCGCTTTTTTTAAATCCTTCGTTCAAGACCTTATAAATTACATATATTTCAAAGACCTGCCTAAAATTTCGTGAGACAAACGACTTCGAAAACACAGTTTCGAGATAAACGCGTTTAAAGTTTGAAGAGTCTATATAGCTGAGCTCGAGCGCTCAAGTTTTCGAGGCAGTATTTCCAAAACTATTACTGGGATCAACTAGAATTTTTTTGAAGCCGCGAAGCTCATGTAACCCTTTAACAGAGGTGTATGGACGACTCGCATGAATCAAGTTTTTGATGACTTCAAGACCTTCACAGACTACTTCGTGCAACTTAAATACTTGTGTTTATGATAAAGCAGACTCCCTAAAACAGTTGTGAAACATTTTCAAAGATCTCGTAACCGCGATAAAAAATGTTGTACGAATCTTGGAATTTTTTTTATCAAATGTGTTTTGACAGTATGTATGTATACAATAGTCTCACAACTCTCACATTTCGGAAAAGGCAAGCAAATTGTCTGCAAAAATATTTATAGTTGTTAAGCGTTACGGGGGCGCAAGTAAATATGGTATATACTTGTAGCATTGGCTCAGCTAAAGGAGTCAGTTTTCTCAGTAAAATTAAAATTGTTAAATTTTAAAATTTTCTTACTGTAATCATTGTCCATTCTGAATTGCGCCCATTATAGAAACATGAAATTACCAAATTATTATTTATTTTGGTTCACTATGTACTTCTCTCTATATATTAGCCTCTTACAAGTATGTAATATAGGAGACCACAAATAATGACCAAAAATGTGTCTATGTGTCGCATAATAATAAGACCTTAAGTCCATGGCGTGAATTCTTCTTTGAAGGTTTGAAGAAGGACGCCGTGTGAATAATTGTAAATTGATTTTGGTGAAATGTAAAACAGGGTGTTAATGGAATCCGGACACATGTGGCATTCCGAATATTGTACCGAAATTCATTAACGACTTGAGCTATAAACACTTAAGCGATTTAATTCAACAAATACACTTTGATTTCATTCGAGCCACAGCTAAAACACGAGTTCAAACAACACCAACATGTTCAAATACTTAAGTACATTTATCCATTCCGAATTTAGAAATAGAATCCTACATAATCCTTCTCTGTAATATAATAATTAATAGGCCGTCGTTCTATTTGCCCTAATCGCCTGCGTCGCCTCCAAACCAGGTCTCCTTGCTGCCGCTCCATTGGCCTATGCCGCTCCCGAGGGTGTTATTGCCGCCGCTGCTCCAGTGGTGACTGCCACCAGTAGCCAAGTGATCGCTCGCAACTACAATGGCATCGCCGCTGCTTCAATTGTCACCGCCGCCCCTCTAGTAGCGCGTTATGCTGCCGCTCCAGTTGTAACCCGTTACGTGGCTGCTGCTCCTCTCGCCGCTCCATTTGCTGCTCACTATGCCGCTGCTCCACTCCTGTGGTAAACGGAGTAAAGTTGATGTGATGTAATATCAGTAATAATTTTTCTGTGAAAAATATATAAATTCGAAACAAAGTCAAGTTGTTGCAAAAATATATAAATTCGAAACAAAGTCAAGTTGTTTTACTTTTGTACAATGGTTGATTATGAAAATAACGTATAGTACGAGTATAATTTCTAGAGTCGGACAATATAGCCGTGAAAGTTGTTTGGATTTTATGCACCACAATATAAATATATTTTAAATAAAAAACTAGGTTTGAAACCGCTTTTTCTACAATATTACTTAAATTTTTGAACACTGAAGATAACAACATAAACTCGATCTTTTTCTAATAGGCACATTAAGAAGTCTTATTAATATATTTTTGAGTATACAAAAGTGGCAAGAGGCCACTTAGGCAATTTATTAAATGTTCAAAAAATAGTTGCATTATAATTTGTTGTATCTAAGCATGGAAATATTCAATGGCAAACTATTAAATCATTAATAGATAATTTTTATTTGAAAAAGTTTTATTCGACTATGCTATGTCCGCGACTATTACCGGTAACGTCACTACTGTAAGGCGATCTCCAACAACATTTTGGTTTAAGGCATCAACGTATAACGAAATATTGTGCCTAAATGTAATTATTTTATTTATGTTATACCTTACTTTTCATTTTGAGCCGTTATGTGTTTACGAATCGAAACGAAATGACTTGGGATTGCGTGCAGACGGATTCCTATGTTCGTTTATGTTAAAATGCAAGTTGAAGGTCCTATATCTACTTTAAAAACGTAAAACATAAGCACTGTTTGCAACCAATTATTATTTGTTTGCAAAAAAGGTCACTCAACTTTTCAAAATGGTAAACTTTTGCATGAGCTCGACCTTGACATGAATTATAGTCGCGAGTTTTTTTGAAAGAAGGCAACTGCCCGCAAATATCAGACAAAAAAAAAAGTAAAACAATTTTAGGAATAATAAACCAAACAAAAAAATATTTTTTTAGAAATAATAGTCACCAAGTAGCGCATTCATGTATTCAATGCAACCACATTCAAAAATAGTCAACAATAAACGCCGACCAAAGCAATGTTAAATAAACAGTGGGTTAAAAAGAACCCAGTATTTGTGTACGTGACCCAACTATATAACGAAATTATTGGGCACTGACTCTTAGCCGGTAGTGGAATATAGTGGAATTTAATGAAAATGTTTTTATGGAATCCAAAATACCATTTAGTTTGAAATGATATCAGGCGAAGTAACGATTTTAGCGGAGTTATTACTATAGAAATGTTATCTGCTCGGGATATGATTATTGAAAAGTGTTCAGGAAGAATATTATTGTTTGGGGCGCATCTTATAATCACATATCACATACCAACCATGGGTCAAAACCTTTGCAGAGATTATAACAATACAAAATAACAGAAATTCTTCAGATTGTTTCAATTCCATTTATTTATTTCACATTCATCATTTGATCTTTCCATTTCTCTAAGTACTCCTTTATTTACCAAAGGAAGGAAGAGACAAGTGGAGCTGTAGCATAATGAGACGCAACCAAAGGAGCGGCAGCAGCATAACGAGCAACAACTGGAGCGGCGGCGATGCCATTGTAGTTACGAGCGATCACCTGGCTGCTGGTGGCGGTAACAACGGGAGCTGGAGCGGCAACAACAGGGGTGGCTACTGGAGCGGCGGCATAACGGGCAACAACGGGGGTGACTCCTGGTGCGGCAGCAACAATTTGTGCAGCGGCGATGCCATTGTAGTTGCGAGCGATCACCTGGCTGCTGGTGGCGGTAACAACGGGAGCTGGAGCGGCAACCACAGCGGCGGGAGCAGCGTAGGCCAATGGAGCGGCAGCAAGGAAACCGGGTTTGGCAGCGGCGCAAGCTATGAGGGCGAAGAGAACGACGGCCTAAAAATATATGGATGGTATTTTAGTTAAAGTTATAGAACACAAAATTCTTGGATTAGTCCAGTAAAGATAGAACTTACGTATTGAAACATTTTGCGATTTGTTTTGTCTTTTATGACTCTCGTTTATACAAAAGCTGGAGATTGTGTGATACCAAATACCAAAATTGGTTGCATATTTATAGTGATTGTCAAGGATTCAATTCAAATAAATTTTGAATTTGCTATACTTAATTGTATAATAAAACAAATGTGCACGGCATATCATGTTCGAATCGATATTTTACGCCTAGGCTTTGATCACCCTCTGACAATTTCGGTAATTTCCGATATCTCCACATTTGACATGCATAAATATAAGTTTACGTATTGTCACCTTCATGAGTGAATGCCAATTGCTAGCTTCTGCATTATAATCAGCAAGCATTGGTACCCAGTATTACTATTCGATTTTCCGCATAACATTTGTTCATAATATAAATAAAGTCGAAAAATGCACTGAATGGCAATGAGATGGAAGTAAATATGTAGATGCAAAGTCTGTTTCTGAAGTAAAGGTGTATAGGGATTTATTATTCAACCGGGCTTAAAATACCTTCATTTAGGTGCTATAAAAAGCCTGCGACACTACAAGAAATTATCAAACATTTACTTATACTTACTCCAAAAACACCCAAACGAAAACTATTTAAAAATGTTCAAATACGTAAGTCGCTAATTAATGATAATCTTATAATTCGTAGTAATCTTCAATACTTGATCCTTATAGGCCGCTGTTCTCTTCGCAGTAATTGCCTGCGCCACCGCCAAACCCGGTCTCCTTGCTGCCGCTCCATTTGCTTACGCTGCTCCCGCCGCTGTGGTTGCCGCTCCAGCTCCCGTTGTTACCGCCACCAGCAGCCAAGTGATCGCTCGTAACTACAATGGCTTCGCCACTGCACCAGTTGTTGCCGCAGCCCCCGTGGTAGCCCGTTATGCCGCCGCTGCTCCTTTGGTTGGAGCTCATTATGCCGCCGCGCCTTTGGCTACAGCTCTATGGTAAATGTTGCTGAAAAGTTAAAATAAACGGAACTCGATATAGAAAAATATAAAGGGTGTCATAATCTAGCTTAAGAAATTCTATAATATAGAAGTAAAAGTAGTGTTATTTACTTTGTTTCCCTAACTTTTCGAGGTATACATAGAAGAATGAAGTGATTACCGCTATACCACATTGGCTGTTTGACGCGTTGAACGCTTCGTGCGATTTGCTGTTCTGTCAATTCCATAAGAATGACTAACTACTCTTCTATAGTTTCGATCACATATCCAAATTGATAATGAAATGCAACCAAGGCCATCAACAAGTGTAACCACCGACCATCTGGTCCATAGCGTCTACTCCGTATTTATGCTTAGTATTATTCAATATTTTAAATTATTTCTTTGTCGAGATGAGAACCACTTATTTTTCCTTCTTCGGGACGTATGAGCATAATGTGACTCGTTATCTTTAGGCGCTGCTCTCTTGCCAAAAAATTACGTGTGTGAGCAGCAGCAATGTTATCGAGTTGAATTCGTACCACAGAATATGCGAATACCTCATTAAATTGGTATAACTTCAATGCCACCAACTTTGGTTTTGCATATTTTAGATCAGTTTTGATATAGACAAGAATTGTCTAAATTTTTTTTATTAATTTAAAAATTTATTACCTAGCATCAATTATAGTTGGTAATAGAAAAAAATTAATGCGTTACTAAAATTTTTTTAACGCGAAAAGAAGAATTATGCACCTAGGAAAAAAAAAACAATGCAAGTGCGCATGCGTCAAAGACATATTAGCGCAATGTTGCACCGCTAACCGTTTCTTTGAAGATATAATATAGTTGTCCGATTCGCTACTCCCCAACGCCTGACTAATAGAAAACAACTAATGTTGTTGTGGTAACTAAATAAGTACTCTAACATCTTCTTCGGTATGTTATTTGTGCATTTGGAAAATAAGCTCCACGTTGTTCATGAAGTTGTCCCAAATGGTGTCGATGCGGAGCGAAGCGGATCTCGTGTTGCTGTTACAAATCGAATGTATGAATCAGTTTATATTGGATAGCAAACAAGGCCGCACTGTAAAGAAGGCTCACACTTCCGAAATTGTATTTTAATCATAATCTAAATCCGTTAGATCGTCCTCATCGAAGGGAGTACTTCCCCCGGGTGGTTCATCTTCACCGGCTAACCACAATGTTAATTATACCCTGAACAAATATCTTCACGAAATTTGGCACAGATTATTGTCCAAGGCTATAATCTGCTGGAGGGGCGGCAGCTCCAGTTGGTGGTTATGCGAAGTAAAAAGAAATTGAATATGATTTGAATTAAACATGTGGTAGTGTTTTATTATGTTTAGAATATTTACAATTAGAATAAGCACATTCTATTAAGCATGTTTCGAGTCTACTGAATGAGAAAAGTTGTAGTCAATATGCAATGCAATCGAACCACAATAATGATATTTATATGCGTATATTTATTTAATAATCCGTTATTTGATATTGGTATATCCTCTTCTTTTATTATACCCAGATTCAGTCATAAAAACTGAACTATCAAAATCAAGGTAGTGTAAGGAAACTTCTTTATTTCACGACTGGACTTTTTCCTTTGCTTGTCGAGGCACTAAACACTGTTATTTGTGCTGTCGAAAGTGACTTCCCGAAGTGTGGTTTTTCCAAGTTGAGTTCTATACAAGAGAGTATATGGGTATATTATATTTCTATTTGAATACGCTAGTCTAATGCATTTATACCAGTTGCTTGTTCGATTCCAACACTCATAGATCTGGCTTGATTAACAATATTTAAGCTCTAATATTACAGTAAATTCATTTGCATTTAAAAATCATTCATTTCACAAAGGCATGTTTTAGCTTATAATTCACCAGAAGAGTGAGGCAGCAGCAAAGGGGGCAACATAGTGAGGTGCCGCCAATGGTGTGGGCAAAGCAGCAGTGGCAGCATAACGGGCCACCAAGGGGACAGCTACTGGGGCGGCAGCAATAATCGGCGCAGCGGCGATGCCATTGTATTTGCGAACGATCACCTGGCTGCTTGTGGCAGTCACCACTGCGATTGGAGCGACCTGGAGACTTGCTTCGGCAGCAGTGCAGGCGATGAGGGCAAAGAGAGCAAAGGCCTAAAATGAATTGGAATATAATTGTAGGAATGGAAAGAAATAACGATATGACAGTATTTCATTAATTGCTTACGAGTTTAAACATTTTATTTCGTTCGGTTGAATTAGGTGGTTGCTTAATGGAAATGAAATTCTGGTTTAGGCAATATTTGCAATTCACTTCGACTTTTATACATACAAATTTATGCCAAGCTGATTTTTGTACAGACAAATGTTATTGTTTGCGGTAACTTTTAATTACTCATCAAATTTCAACAGGACTAAACACAAAACCAAAACAAAGTTGTAAAAAATCGAGTCACAAACTCGGCGGGCGTGCCTCGGCGCTTCGCACCTGCGCATAACAAGTTTTCGGGTTATTTACAATGGATTGCGTGTGTGCATTTTAATTTAGTTCAAAAATATAAATCAAAACCCGAACAACGAACAACGAACTACAAGGAAAAATACAAATGTGACATTGAATTGCAATGAAGATTGTCCAAATAATTGTGTGGTCAAATTCAGTGGCATTTTTACTTTAACAAGCAATTTATAATTGTATTGCATTATTTGAAGGGCAACTGTGTTGAACTTGAAAAATAGGGAAAACAAAAACAGCGGTTTTTCGCAAAGTTGATTGCTTTGCTTTTGGATATAAAAATTGTGCACAGTATACAAAATGACATCAGACAGCTTTCAACTAAAGTTCAAGACGCAGCTCAGCTCAGCCAAGGCATATACTCAAAGTATTTACGCCAAAGCATCATTTGGCTAACATCATGTCTTACTTAATTGCCCATGTTCATATGTTCATTCTCTTCCTTTCTAAACAGGCCGTTGTTCTTTTCGCTCTCATCGCCTGTGCCGCCGCCAAATCCGGTCTCCTTACTGCCGCTCCATTGGCTTATACCGCTCCCGCCGGTGTTGTTGCCGCCGCTGTCCCAGTGGTGACCGCCACCAGCAGTCAGGTGATCGCTCGCAATTACAATGGCATCGCCGCTGCGCCGATTATTGCTGCCGCCCCAGTAGCTGCCCCCTTGGTGGCCCATTACGCTGCCGCCGCGCCGTTGCCTGCTCCATTGGGCGGTGCTCCACTCGTCGCCCGCTATGCTGC